TTTTTTTACAGGACTGTGACCTATTAGTAAAAGATTCATTTAATATTGGATGTAGGCTTCCTAATTTTAATCGTTATGAAACGATTGAAACAATTAGGAACATGTTGTCTAAAACTCAACTTGAAATTCTGAAAAAAAAAATCTTGTTTTGGGAAGTTTTTTAAATTGCCTTTTGGTATTGTTCAGTCTCAACTGGTCCATTTGGTGCTTCTTAGACAAGTTTTTCAAAAAAAATTAGAGGAATTATGGGTTGATATGTGTGGGAAGATAATGTGGTTTGGAATTGGCGAGTTTTTTGTTCTTACTGGTTTAAAGTGTGTTGGAGCTGCAAGTAAATTGCTATATCAGTGTCCTCAAGATGGTTTGTTCAATAAATTTTTTGCATCTGGTGGTCGTTTTACCCGTGAAGCTATTCGTTTGAAGTTTCTATCTCGTTGTTGGTCTAATGATAGTGATGCTGTGAAAACTTGCTATCCTTCATTTTCTTGCCAATTACCTCATGGGTAATGAACCGTCTGTTGGGTTTGATCTGAACTATCTTGCTATCATTGATAGTGAAGATTGTAATGAATATCCATGGGGTAAAGAGATATTTGAATATTTTATTTCGCATATTGTCGGGAAGATCTCTGAAACTAAGACTTCTGTTTACATTAAGTGTCGGGGTCTTATCGTTGTGCTTCAATGGTGGTTTTACGAAATTTGTACCAATGCTTCGGGTCTCATTTGTTTGAAAGATGATTCTTTGATTTCTTCGATTCCTCGGATGTTGAAGTGGAAGTCTGATAATTCTTTTGACCGAGAATTTTTTTTTAGAAAGTTCTTCTCCCTTCATCATGGTCAGGTGTATATATTCTTTTTTTTATCATTTATTTTTTGATTATATTAATTTTTTTATTTTTTTGATAACTTAGTTTTCCTAATTTTTTTGATTGTTGTCTGTGTTTGTTTTTGTTTTTTTTTTTTATATATATAGTTCTCAAATATTGTTCCAACTGTGGAAGAGATCAAAAGGCTGCATCTGGAGAATTTTTTTAATAAAATCAACAAATTCATTCGTCACGAAGATGTGAGACATAATGATAGTTTTGCACCTTCGACTTCGAAAAACTTTGATGAACAAATATGTAATCTTGTGTCCGGTCAGTTGCAATTACAAGCTGATTGTAATAGCCTCAAGCTTTTATTTCACAATTTCTCTGCAAAAGTGTTTGAAGAGTTCAAAGTTATTCACTCTACGTTGAAGGTAAGGTTTTTATTTTTCTGTACTATTCAATTTAATTCATCAGATGATCCTTAATTTTGGTTATTTTTGTTTTTCATATTATGTTAATTTTTATATATCTTATACTTTTGTTTTCTTTTTTTTTTCAAAGGAATTGCGTGGCATGATGAATAATAATGTGGATGTTGATGATGGTCAGTGCAAGGAGTTTCACACTGATATGTTTCAAAGTGGTGCACAGGTTCATGTTAATCGAATACATATCCCCGACTTTGATGATGGTTGTAAGGCACGTTATATACTTTATTGATTTCAATTAATACTTCTTTTTCATTGTCCTCCAATTGGTTTTGATATGTGTTTGTTACTAATTCACATTATAGTCTTTCTAAAAAAAATTTATTATTCAGATTGGTGATCAGGGGAAAATTGTGATAAAGTTATTTTCTCTCAATCTCCTGATGTTGATGTTCAAGATTCTGATGAGGTGCATGTTGTTTTTAATGACAAGGTTTGTTTAATCTATGTTTCTTTTGAGTTCTTTTCTTGTTATTTTTAAATTTATACCTTATTTTTTGAAAAATCATTCACCTTACTGATCTTAATGTTAGTGATTATGATATCCTTTAGGTTTGTGATATAGTTGAAAAAATTGTGTTAAATCTTGATCAATTAGCTAATGTATATAAGGCAAGTTAATTTTTCTTTTTTTTTTCTTTTAAGTATATAAATATTAACTAATACTTGATTTGTAATTTTTTATTTTTCAATTTTTAATTTTCACAACAATAGGGTCAAGGTTCAGCTGATGTTACAACTTCTGAAACTAATTTGGTTAAGAGGCAAATGTTGATAAGGTTAGTTATTCAATTAACCTTATTCTTTTGTTTTTTGTTTACAATGTTTCCTACTTAATTATCTTCTTTCCATTTTATTTTCTCAACAATAGGGTCAAGGTTCTGATGATGTTACAACCTCTGTAAAAAATGTGGTGGAAGAGTCAAATATGGTTAAGGGGAGTTATTCAATTATCCTTAATCTTATGTTTCTTTTCATTTAAAATGTTAATCTTTTCTTAGATACTAATTACTTTCATTCAAATTTATAACTTATATATCCGAATGTATTACTTATCTTTTTTTTTCATTTTTATTCTCACAACCATAGGGTCAAGCTTCAGCTCTTTGTAAAACTGTAGGCTCGTCTCGTTGCTTATCTTTATCGGTTTGTAACCTTGCTTTAGCTGATACTTCAACACCAATCTTGAATCAGATGGAACATATTCTACAACTTTTTCCACAGCTTGTAATAAATCATCAAAACTTTCATTCTCTTTATGGAAGAGTCCACAAACTTCATATCCTTCATAATTTATTTCACTGATCCATTGTCCATTATATTGAACAATAAAAAGGTCCCTGCTCATCTTTCCTGCACAAATTTTTAAAAATTAATTATATCAAGATTTATCTTAATCAATATAAGTTAATTATAAATTAATGCTAATTGTTAATATCTTTTAATCAACATATTGTTATCTAAAAAATTAGTCATTTGTAAGTGTTGATCAAAATATTGATAAATTGTATACAGTAATTTGTAAATTTCTCATTTCTGTGAAAAATTCTTTGTAGATTTTTTGTTTTTTAAATAAATCAAATTTAAGAACAGTAAGAATTTATTGAAAAACTCTTTAGATGCAAATAACTGAAATTCATCACCGGATACACAAGAACAACTTAATTCATATACTTCAAATAAATTTTCACATCACCTGTGATTATGTGAATCTGATATTCGAATCTTGAATATTCCCAATTGAATCTGATCTTCAAATCTCGAATCTTCACAACTTTATTCTGTCGATGCGTGATGTTTCCATGTCCTTTTTCTTCGTTTTTGTCTCTGAACAATTTTGGGAAGTATCTGTTTCATATATTTGATGCTTTTTTTTTGGGGTTCAATATACTCTGTTTCTTTTAATCGGTAGATTTTTTTTTTTTTTTAATTTAACTGTCACACAGTTTCTTTGTTTTTTCAAATTCAAATTATATCTTTTCACTTTTTGTTCAAAACGTTTCAGTTTTGATTTTTCTATTTAACTATTTTTTTTTTTATTTTTTTTTCCCGTGAGTGGTTGTTTTATGTCTACTTTTTGGAGTAAGTGTGTATAGGTAAAAGATGTTTTGCAAAATCTGTTTAAAAAATTGGCAGTTATAAATTTTTCCCAAGGCGTTTAGGTTTAAATGGAAGTGGACCAAAATTCGAAGCCCATATTGTAACACAAGGTTCATAACATTTAGGTTCAATTCTTTTTTTTTTTGAACGAGCTACACGCCTGCACCTACATATCATCAGTCATCACTCATCAGTCACAAGTTCATAATTAGGGGTGCGCAAAATCGAGTCAAAACTGAAAAACCGAATTGAACCGATGTATTCGGTGCAGTTAGATTTTTCAAGGGCTTAGTTTTCGGTGCGGTTTAAATTTTGAAAAACCGCACAAATTTCGGTGCGGTTCGATTTTTGGTCTGATAGGCGCGGTTTTAATCGAACTGCACTGAATATTTTTTTTAAACAAATATGTTAACATCTTTGTATTGTACATATACATGCTCATTTTGGACTTATAGTTTGAGATGACTAACATTAATAAAATAAGTAAATTAACAAATAATAACAATAATATTTAAAAATTAAAATTATTACATTAAAATCTAATTTGTTGCCCTAACTTTTAACTTTGAGTTCAAATTTGGGTCGGTGGGTCTTTTGTTTTTAAAGAAATAAAATTTGCGTTTAATCAAACTGTACTGAACCGAACCGAAAATTTTGGTGCCGTTTCAGTTTGGTTTTTTACCAATTTCAGTGTAGTTCAATTTGGGTAAATTAATTTTTTTTTATTATTTTTTTTTTGTTTGCGATTCGGTGAACAGTACCGGACCCACCATGCTCACCTATAATAACCACTGGGAAAAACTGAGATACACTTTGCTGTATCTAAAAAATTGTA